TTTTTTTTTTTTTTTTTTTTGGTACCAGGGATCAAACTGTCCTTTGAAGCCCAAAAATTTTACTTTTGATAATGATAACTATTTCTTATCAGTTGTCTTTTTTTTTTTGGTACAGGGGATCAAACTCGGGTCCTTGTGCTTGTGCAGCAGGCAGTGAAACCACTGAGCTAAATCCCCGGCCCTCAGTTAGCTTTTTATAAAAATCTAGACAAGTTCTATTAACACCTGAAGAATGACAGAGTCACAGGCCATCAGTTATTATGTATACTATAGTATGTTACATTACAGTGATTTAAAGTACAAACATTTATGATGCATAATACAGAGTATACTTAACATATCTAACATTTAAAATTTTTTATCTTCTCTATCTATCATTTGATTAAAATTGTTTCCTACAGCTGAATGAGGTGGCACATCCCTGTAATCCCAGCTGCTTGGGAGGCTGAGGCAGGATGATCTCAAGTTCAAGGATAGCTGGGCAATGTGGCAAGATCCTGTCTCAAAATTTAGAAGGGGCTAGACATGTGACTCAATGGTAGAGCACTTGCCTCACAACCACAGGCCCAGGGTTCAATCCCTAGTACCAAAAAAATTAATTAAATTTAATTTTTAGAGAAGAACAAATTATGTCCTACACAAAACTGATCTGTTATCTTAGACATATGTATTACCAATTGTGAAAGCTTTGGTAATGTATTCCATTTTTTTCCCATGATGTTAAAAGGACTATGAAAGGTTAAAAGATAAAATGGTAAAAATGATAACAAGGTGAATTTTGAATAGGGCAAAACCAAGTTATGAATTAAGAGGGATGTTAGACGTAGGTTATCAATACTTAAAGGTACTGATTGTTGATATTCTTATTCTGTGAACAGATTGACTTCAAATTTTAATCTGGAAAAACAACTAGAATAACTATTGAGAAACAGTTTAAAACTACAGACTTCTTAATTATATTAGGATTTCTGTAATTGTTCAGATCTTAGTTATAAGAAATAAAATGTCCAGTGTAAACGTATCCAAAAGCATGTCGAGTATCACTTCTGTGTTACTCTTATGTTCAGTTTATTGACTCTCAGTTGCAGAGCAAGAGAATAAAACGTATTGCTGGATTTTATTTTGCTGTATTAGCTCCTCAAGAGTTACTGATAAATGAAATGGCAGAGAATGGAAAAAATTGTGACCAGAGACGTGTAGCAATGAATAAAGAACAACACAATGGAAATTTCACAGGTAAAGTATATGTGATGACAATAATAGCAAACCTTAGTTGGGCATTTACTAAGTGTCAGATTCTTCTGAGAACTTTACATGTGTTAACACGACCCTTACAATGGTCCTCAAAATATTATCCCCATTTTACAGAGGAGAAAACTGAGGTACAGAAATGTTAACTGCCCAAGATCATGTCAATAGTAGATGGCAATCTTGGATTTTGAACCAAGTAGTTTGCCTTTACATTATGAGATCTAGACCGCTTTGATATGTAATACAGTGCTGTTTATATAATGCCCATCACAGAAGGTTGACCAATTTAGACTTACTGCAGCAGCGTATAAGAGTAGGACCTTGTTTTCTGATAGTAAAATAATTGCAAAAATAACGTTAAAATTGGGATAGAAACTCCTAGCCCATGTTTCTTGTTTCTGCAAATCTACTATAGTTGTCATCCAAATTCAACTGCTGTTATTTTCAGTACTAATTACTTAGGACAACCTCTTCTAAAGGTTCATAACTGTCACGACAAGAAGAGCATGCGTGGGAACCAGAGTTCAACCCGCAGCATCCAAAAAAAAAAAAAAAAAGTGGCAACTGTGATAATTCACTCCTTCCTGAGCCACTAGGTATTGCTGAGTCTGGACAAGTTGTTATCTCTTAAGACTTTATGACTCGCTGTTAATAGTTACCTGGGATGTTGGGTACATTTCATCCATCTCTCTCAAAGACTGCTTAAAAGAATTCCCAGAAAGGTCGCCGCTCATTGAAAGGGAAAAGGTAAGCAGATATACAGACAAATGAAATGCCAGTTGGGGATAAGTTATGGGAACCTACTGGATCCTTAGCTTTCTGTTTTAGATTTCAGACACATTTGTAGCGGACCATCTATATTAATAAGAATTATGTTTCGGATGTTGCCTCCTCTAAAGAAGGGTCAATCTCAGCTTAGTATTTGAACTGTTTTATATGCAGTGTTTCAGATGTAGGGTAGGTGGGTTGTCTTTTTAAAATAATGCAAAAGAGTGAGCCTAAATGTTAGGAATTCTGTTTTAACTTCTGTGCTATTTTTTTTCAGACCCCTCTTCAGTGAATGAAAAGAAGAGGAGGGATCGGGAAGAAAGACAGAATATTGTCCTGTGGAGACAACCACTCATTACCTTGCAGTATTTTTCTCTGGAAACCCTTGTAATCTTAAAGGAATGGACCTCAAAGTAAGGAATCTTCTGTTACTTTTTATATAAACCTCATTTTCTAATTGTAGAAATCCTCAGCCATCTCCTACTCCCTGCCATCTGCTCCATCAAAATGAATGAATTAGAATATTATCATAGGAACATATTTATTTGCCTTTCTATAGTTTGAAGAAAAATAGACTACAGAATTTAGTCTGAAGAAAAATAAATGTGGAAACATGTTGTTTTTGCTGGGTGGATTATTATAGTTGACCAGTATCTCATATTCAGTCTTGCAAGGGAGAACACTGAAAATGGCATGGATTTTTCTCTCCTGGTTTTACCTTCAAGAGATTTCAGGCCTGTGTACCTTAACTACATTGATTCTGTAGCAGGACAAGGTTCAGATTATGTGGCACTTTTGTTGATAATTTGAGCCAGTGAAAAAGGACTCTGCCATGGGTATGTGTTCTATCTTTAAACTTAGTACTTGTAAGCCCTGTTCCAACTACACAGAGCAAGTTCAACTTTTATACATCCTATCATTTTCTTGTTTGCCTTTCTACATTATCTGTACTGTTAATTATGTTTTACTATACTTAGAGTTTATAAAACATTTTGTCACATTTTTCAGCTCATTTAGTGCCCATAGCAACTCCATGAAGAAGATTAAACAAATAAATGAATTTATGATTTTAAAAGCTAAAAAAATCCCAGTGGTTGATTGTCTTGCTAAAGATGCAACACTAAAAATCACAGGTCCACTGACCTTAAAGTGTTCTATTACACTGTAGTGCTTCTCCATTTAGAAATTGGGGTATAAATAAGACCAGGGTTTGGCTAAGGGAAAGACCATGATGGGATTTATGATAAGAAATTGGTTCTGTGCCCATATATTTTCCTTTGACCCCTTTCAGCACCCCCAAGACTGTATGAGCAAATTGTTCTTGAGAATGGTAATCCTGAAAGTGAGATGATTGAGATTTTTTTAAATTTGTTTTTAAGATTATGGCATCGTCAAAGCATTGTGGTGTCTTTTTTACTGCTGCTTGCTGTGCTTGTAGCTACGTATTATGTTGAAGGAGCACATCAACAGGTAAGTGATTAATCAGTTCTAAGGCCATACCCTAAAAATACTCATGTACTGTTTTACAGCTTCTCAGCATTGTACGTATTTGCTGTCCATGATTCCTTTCTGCTTTCAGGTTTGAATGTAACTGTCTTGACTGTTGAGTCAGAGCAGCACGACTCCTTTCCGCTCTGCCAGAGTCTTTGTATTTTCTATAATATACTTTTGTCTTCCATCCAAATAGACCTCATCCTAAGTTGAGGGTTAGGTTTTATTTGTATGAAAAACAAATTCATTTGCCTGTAGTCTGCAAGTACATTACTGATAGGTAAATAAGACATTTTAATAACACCTTTCATTAAAATACCAAAGCATTATTCTAGTAGGAAATGCTTCTAAAATGGTATCGTTTTATATTTTAAAACAGTTAACAGTTCAGGGAATTTTTTTATAGTTTTAAATGAATTTCTTTTAAATGATCTCTTTGTATATTAAAAATTTCAGTGAGCTAGCTTGCTGACTTTACTTGCCAAAGCAAGCAAAATTTCTCTATTAGTAAGTCTGGAATTCCTTTAACAATTTTGTTTCCCTCAGGACTTCATTTTGTTCTTGTTTGAAAAGTATCTTGTTTGAAAAGTTCTTGTTTGAAAAGCCGGGGATTTAGCTCAGTGGCACGGTGCCTCATAAGCGCAAGGTCCTGAGTTTGATCCCCAATACTGCACCAAAAAAAAGAAAAGAGAAAGAGAAAAGCATCTTGGTCTTAAATATACAAAATTATTCCTATTTTTTGGTAGGATAATCAAGAACATATTCTGTTCAAAAATATTATGTAATTGTTCCTTTCTTACTATTGTGTATGTATTATGCTTTCTTGAAGTTTTATAAGTTTTAATAGCTTTAAAAATTTTTATTCTCATTTTATTAGTCATTTGTTCCTTTTGTGTGTCGGCTTAGAAAATGAGTTTTATTTTAATTAGATGAATGTTTTGTCATCTCTCCTATTGCATACTAACGAAATTAGGCCTCTTTGAGGAGTGTTTGATCTTAATATTTCCATGCTATTTTAGTTGATTTGTTTTGTTTTCATGGTAGTTTACACATATCACTTTTCTGTATAAAGAATTCGGGCTTTTAAAACTTCCATGTCTTTTGTTTTTTAGTATGTGCAGCGTATAGAGAAACAATTTCTTCTGTATGCCTACTGGATAGGCTTGGGAATTTTGTCTTCTGTGGGGCTTGGAACAGGGCTGCACACTTTTCTGCTTTATCTGGTAAGAATAACTTTCTTTTAATGAGCAAAAAATGAAAGAGATTTTGTCTTATTAGTGCCTTTACTTCAGTAGTTAAAATTCTAAGATTTATATTTAATTATGGTTTTGAGCTCTCTGACCCTCAAATCACTGTTTTAAGTTTGATTTAGAATTTTGAGTTTCCTTTTGAGTTGAGAATTTAAAAAGAGGAAAGGAAAAAGAACAGTTAAGCAAATAAAGTTGTTTGTTTAAATTGGTTCAGCCAGAAGATTTTTTCTTCTAGAGTTTGGAATAATGATTCTGCCTGAACAATTGTTTTAATAGTTGAAGTTAATTTCAAAGTGTAATCAACAGAGAAACAGCATCTTCATCTCACATCTTCAGCCACCATGTATCCATTTGGGTAGTTATTGTGGTATTCTTAATATAATTGGTGAATATTACATATGTTAACTAAATACTTTTTAAACCCTTTAAAAGTATAAAAAAGTGCCCCTTCTGAAAGATATCCTTTACTAGTTAAAATAAGAAAGAGCAAAGGTAAGTTTTCCTTGTCATTCACAAATATGCTTAAATAATGTCAGAATTATGCTAAAATAATGTCAGCAAGGATGGGGGTGAGAGAGTTAAGCAAGTTGCTAAAGACACAGGGGTTTTTTTTCCTCAGTACTAGGGATTTAACCCAGGACTGTGCAGGCGGTACCACTAAGCTACATTCTCAAGCCCCTGAGGCACCATTTAAGTTGATGGATGAGGGTCTCATTAAATTTTGTGCCCTTGATGCCTTGTTTGCTTCACTCTGTTCCTGTCCCTGATCGCAACTTGAAAATAGTTTAATCTTCACTGGGGAAGTACCTGTGAAGGGATGTCACAGAGAAATGAATTGTTCAGTAAAAGCACTAAAAAAGTACAATCTGTATATTAGAATGAATTCATTTCTGAAACAGGTGTGGTAAGTATTAAGGGTTGCTTGTCTGCTTAGTTCAGAAAGGTGCTGAATTAATGGTCAGAAAAGTACTTTGGGAATTAATCCATAATGCATAATTTTTCCAAGTTTATGGAGGTTTAAAACTTGAAATTTTAAGCTGGGCACAGTAAAACATGCCTGAAATCCCAGCTATTCTAGAGGCTGAGATAGATGGAATACATGTTCAAGGCCAACCTGGGCAGCTTAGTGAGACTGTCTCAGGGGAAAAAGAAACTCAGAATTTTAGAATTATGCTTTTGTGTGGTTGCTGATTTTAGTTTAAATAGGGACATACATTTTAGAGAAGAAAGCCATGTCGTTTCTCTAATATCTGCAGCATTCTTATTAACATAACAATACATTCACCAATAGAGGTTGAGGGAGAAGGAAAAAGAGGGAGAGATTACAGAAGACCTTCCTGTTCTTTTTTTTTTTTTTTTGGTACCGGGGATCGAACTCAGGTCCTTCCACTTGTGAGGCAGGCGACGGAACCACTGAGCAAAATCCCCGGCCTCCAACCTTCCTGTTCTTGTCTAGGCTTGTCCTGTGATATTTCTTGGAAATACCAGATTAAAGAACTCATTTGTAGCATTTGATTAATTTGGCATCATCTAAAAAGTAGCCCAGGGCTAGGGAGGTAGCTTAGAGGTAGAGCACTTGCCAAATATGTATGAGTCCTAGGCTTACACCCAGAATTTGTGTGTATGTGGAGGGGTAGATAGGTTTTTCCAAACTTTAAAAGGAATTCAAATGAACCCCTTTTAAATTTCATAAGAACTTAGGATAAACAATTTTTTTTTTTTTGGTACGGGGGTCGGGGCGGGGGGAGTCAAACTTGGGACCTTGCGCTTGCAAGGCAGGCGCCGGGACCACTGAGCTAAATCCCTGGCCCAGGATAAACAAATTTGAAACAAATTTTGTATTCCTGTTGTAACTTATATGAAACATTTTATGAAATGCCTTTCTATGAAAGCATTTTTATTCCAGGTCCATTGACCCAAGTATCCAATAAAGGATTTAGAAACATACAGAATTTAGAAATATACAAATAAGAGTTTATTACAAAATTGATGTAGGGGAAAAATCAAATCTTTATTCCATAAATAAGTAGCTATTTCTGCCCTTGTTCAGAGCTCAAGTTTAATGAGGTTAGCCTTTCATAATTTTAGAAAGAATTCTTCAAAAGCTATTTGTAAGAAAGTATCCATTTCTCATTATACTCATTACTATAGTATCCTGATTAGCTAGTAAGAAGCTAAAATCAAGGAACCTCTGAAACTGTTACATTAAACATAAAGGCTTTTAATATAAAACTTTCTACATTTTTATACATCTAAAGTCTTGGTATATGTTAACATTGCATATAAGCACTGTGGTATCATTACTGCCAATATGAAACCTAGGTCCAGGCTGAGTGTGGTGATACATGCCTGTAATCCCAGCACTCTGGGAGTTGAAACAGGAAGATCACAAGTTGGAGCCCAGCCTGGGCAACTTAATAGTTTAGTAAGACCCTGTCTCAAAATGAAAAAGGGTTGGGAATATAGCTCAGTGTAGGGGCCCTGGGTTCAGTCCCCAGTGGGGAAGGAGGTTGGGGGGGTGCTGAGGTCCAGGATAGATCAAGAGACATTTATCATTACTAAATAATTTTGAATTATTTTTATTGTTCTGTGTATCTTTTTTTTGGTTCCATTTAGAATTCTTTTAAATATCTTAAAAATAAGTTTATGTGAAGTAACCAAATCTATGTTTTATGAATATAGAATTCTGCCTATTTTGTGGGGGATAAACTGATACATTATTAACTAAAGCCAATAGTTTTCATTAGGTTCATTCTTTGTCTTTAAGTTTTATGGCTTGAGAAAAATACATAATGTTATGTATGTACCATTATATCATCACACAGAATAGTTTTGCTGCCCTAAAACTATTCTGCATTCCATCATATTACTCGCGTCTTCCACTCTTCACCCCAATCCCAAACCACTGGCAATATTGTTTAATGCTTATGTTTAAACCTCTCTGTGTCTTTTTCACAGCTTGTTTCCTCATTTCTTTTTATTACTAAATAATGAATGTTCCATTTTATAAATGTACCACCATAGTGGTTTATCCAGTTAATGAATAAAGCTGCTATAAGTGTATGTGTGAGAGTTTTTCTTTGAAATGAATTTTCGATTCATATGGCTAAATTCCTAAAAGGACAATTGGTGGATCATGTATGTTAATTACTGCTATATAGAAAAGAAATTCTTTCTTGTGTTCATCCTATATCCAGCCACCTTGCTATAATTACTTAATAGTTCCAAGACTTTTTTGATGGTATTTTTAAAATTTTCTACATGGACAGTTTTATATCTTCCTCCCCAATCTGTATAAATTTTATTTCTAGTGCTTACTGCATTGGCTGTTTTTTCAGTATGATACTGAGTAGAAGTTGTGGGAGAGATCCTGCCTTGTTCCCAATCTTAATCTGAAAGCCTGTCACCTTTAAGGATGCCATTAGGTGTAGGTTGTTTTGTAGCTGTTCCTTATGAAGTTGCAGGACCCTGGTTTGTTTAGAGGTTTCTTGTGTGGTTTTTTTAGTCATGAATCAGCATTGAATTTTATCAAGTAAAAACTCCACTTTTTGTGCTCGCCTATAATCCTAGGCTGAGATGGGAGGATTGTGAGTTTAAGGCTAGCCTAGACAACATAGTGAGACCTCATCTTACAGAATTAATAAACCCACTTTTTTAGACAGTAGCAATCAGAAGTGGACCAAAGGCCAATATAACATAGCGAGCACAAGCTCACACAAACATTAGTATGTAGGATTAGGGAGCAGTGTGTTTAAGATATGTATTTTTTTTCTGTCTCAACCACTCAAAATATGCTATTTCATTTGACCAGATTACCTTTAGTTCTTACCTCTTTTCTTTTAGACACAGGCTTTCCTTTTGGGACTTTCCTGTAAGAGAGAATGAAGGAGAAAAGAGGATTTACAAAGAACAATTTTCACACAATTCAGGTGAAAGAAAAACAGAAGCTATCACTGGTTATGATTTTTGAATTGATTGGTTAGGATGGAAATTAGATTGCAAGAGGCTAACCACTAACAACAAAAAGGACAAACTCATTGTCATACTTGATTTCATTTTATTTATTTATTTATTTTGGTACCGAGGATCAACTCATTATCATACTTACATTAATATGAATTGGATTCGGTTCTGTTTTCACCCTTGTTGGATATCCACTTTTGTGGGGAGATTCTGCGTCCCCATCCTGTTGAATTCTAGCCATATGATTTGCTTTGATCAGTGAAATATGAATGTAAGTGATAGGCGTTGCTTGAGAAATGTGGGTTGTTATTTCAGTATTATCTGCCCTATCCTAACTGACAGACTAGCTAACATCTATTTAAATGTTTACTATGTGCTGGGTTCAGTGATCGTTCCTTTACATGAATTATTTTGCTTCTTCCCAAGAGCCAAGGTACTCAGTAACCAATAGTATAGCAAAAACTTCTATTAATAAGTATAAACTATTTGTTTGTTAACTTTGGAAGTATGGAAGAGAAAACAGAGGCAAAGCAGAGTCAAATGTTTTAAAGTTTGATCTGTTATTACTTAATAAAAACCATTCCAAACTGGCCTTGAACTCACTATGTAGCCCAGGCTGAACTTGAACTTGTGGTGATCTTCCTGCTTCAGCCTCCCAAGTGCTGGGATTGCAAGTGTGTGCCACCACACCCAGCTTGGTTAGATTTTTTTAATTTATATTTTCTTAGTGATAGATGGTTGGTAGAATTTTATTCTTATAGATTGCTATTTCTTTTGTTTTATATCTAGGAAATGTAATTATGTTTGAAAAAGTTCTAACTACATCTGCTTTCATTTATAAGCTTTTAAATAACCCTGTCAGCAAGATGTGATGATAATATTCTCATGTCCTACTTTTTTATGATGATAAAACAGACACCTCTGCCTGATTATCATATAACTCAGTTTGGAGACCAAGTGACCATTGTTAGGAAACTAATCTGGTCAGAAATAGAGCTCTCCTTTTGATA